TGGCATGAGGGATGGCATGAGGGATGTCATGAGGGATGGCATGCGGGATGGCATGAGGGGTGGCATGAGGGATGGCATGAGGGATGGCATGAGGGATGGCATGAGGGATGGCATGAGGGATGGCATGAGGGATGGCATGAGGGATGGCATGAGGGATGGCATGATGGATGGCATGAGGGATGGCATGAGGGATGGCATGAGGGATGGCATGAGGGATGGCACGAGGGATGGCATGAGGGATGACATGAGGGATGGCATGAGGGATGGCATGAGGGATGTCATGAGGGATGGCATGAGGGATGGCATGAGGGATGGCATGAGGGATGGCATGAGGGCTGGCATGAGGGGTGGCATGAGGGATGGCATGAGGGATGGCATGAGGGATGGCATGCGGGATGGCATGAGGGGTGGCATGAGGGATGGCATGAGGGATGGCATGAGGGGTGGCATGAGGGATGGCATGAGGGATGGCATGAGGGATGGCATGCGGGATGGCATGAGGGGTGGCATGAGGGATGGCATGAGGGATGGCATGAGGGGTGGCATGAGGGATGGCATGAGGGATGGCATGAGGGATGGCATGAGGGATGGCATGAGGGATGGCATGAGGGGTGGCATGAGGGATGGCATGAGGGGTGGCATGAGGGATGGCATGAGGGATGGCACGAGGGATGGCATGAGGGATGGCATGAGGGATGGCATGCAGGATGGCATGAGGGGTGGCATGAGGGATGGCATGAGGGATGGCATGAGGGATGGCATGAGGGATGGCATGAGGGATGGCATGAGGGGTGGCATGAGGGATGGCATGAGGGGTGGCATGAGGGATGGCATGAGGGATGGCATGAGGGATGGCATGCGGGATGGCATGAGGGGTGGCATGAGGGATGGCATGAGGGATGGCACGAGGGATGGCATGAGGGATGGCATGAGGGATGGCATGAGGGATGGCATGAGGGATGGCATGAGGGATGGCATGAGGGATGGCATGAGGGATGGCATGAGGGATGGCATGAGGGATGGCATGAGGGATGGCATGAGGGATGGCATGAGGGATGGCATGAGGGATGGCATGAGGGATGGCATGCGGGATGGCATGAGCGGTGGCATGAGGGATGGCATGTGGGATGGCATGAGGGATGGCATGAGGGATGGCATGAGGGATGGCATGAGGGGTGGCATGAGGGATGGCATGAGGGGTGGCATGAGGGATGGCATGAGGGATGGCATGAGGGATGGCATGAGGGATGGCATGAGGGATGGCATGAGGGATGGCATGAGGGATGGCATGAGGGATGGCATGAGGGGTGGCATGAGGGATGGCATGAGGGGTGGCATGAGGGATGGCATGAGGGATGGCATGAGGGATGGCATGCGGGATGGCATGAGGGGTGGCATGAGGGATGGCATGAGGGATGGCATGAGGGGTGGCATGAGGGATGGCATGAGGGATGGCATGAGGGATGGCATGAGGGATGTCATGAGGGATGGCATGCGGGATGGCATGAGGGGTGGCATGAGGGATGGCATGAGGGATGGCATGAGGGATGGCATGAGGGATGGCATGAGGGATGGCATGAGGGGTGGCATGAGGGATGGCATGAGGGGTGGCATGAGGGATGGCATGAGGGATGGCACGAGGGATGGCATGAGGGATGGCATGAGGGATGGCATGAGGGATGGCATGAGGGATGGCATGAGGGATGGCATGAGGGATGGCATGAGGGATGGCATGAGGGATGGCATGAGGGATGGCATGAGGGATGGCATGCGGGATGGCATGAGGGGTGGCATGAGGGATGGCATGAGGGATGGCATGAGGGATGGCATGAGGGATGGCATGAGGGGTGGCATGAGGGATGGCATGAGGGGTGGCATGAGGGATGGCATGAGGGATGGCATGAGGGATGGCATGAGGGATGGCATGAGGGATGTCATGAGGGATGGCATGCGGGATGGCATGAGGGGTGGCATGAGGGATGGCATGAGGGATGGCATGAGGGATGGCATGAGGGATGGCATGAGGGATGGCATGAGGGGTGGCATGAGGGATGGCATGAGGGGTGGCATGAGGGATGTCATGAGGGATGGCACGAGGGATGGCATGAGGGATGGCATGAGGGATGGCATGAGGGATGGCATGAGGGATGGCATGAGGGATGGCATGAGGGATGGCATGAGGGATGGCATGAGGGATGGCATGAGGGATGGCATGAGGGATGGCATGCGGGATGGCATGAGGGGTGGCATGAGGGATGGCATGAGGGATGGCATGAGGGATGGCATGAGGGATGGCATGAGGGATGGCATGAGGGGTGGCATGAGGGATGGCATGAGGGGTGGCATGAGGGATGGCATGAGGGATGGCATGAGGGACGGCATGCGGGATGGCATGAGGGATGGCATGAGGGATGGCATGAGGGATGGCATGAGGGGTGGCATGAGGGATGGCATGAGGGATGGCATGAGGGATGGCATGAGGGATGTCATGAGGGATGGCATGCGGGATGGCATGAGGGGTGGCATGAGGGGTGGCATGAGGGATGGCATGAGGGATGGCACGAGGGATGGCATGAGGGATGGCATGAGGGATGGCATGAGGGATGGCATGAGGGATGTCATGAGGGATGGCATGAGGGATGGCATGAGGGATGGCATGAGGGATGGCATGAGGGATGGCATGAGGGATGGCATGCGGGATGGCATGAGGGGTGGCATGAGGGATGGCATGAGGGATGGCATGAGGGATGGCATGAGGGATGGCATGAGGGATGGCACGAGGGATGGCATGAGGGATGGCATGAGGGATGGCATGAGGGATGGCATGAGGGATGTCATGAGGGATGGCATGAGGGATGGCATCAGGGATGGCATGAGGGATGGCATGATGGATGGCATGAGAGATGGCATGAGGGATGGCATGAGGGATGGCATGAGGGATGGCATGAGGGATGGCATGAGGGATGTCATGAGGGATGGCATGCGGGATGGCATGAGGGGTGGCATGAGGGATGGCATGAGGGATGGCATGAGGGATGGCATGAGGGATGGCATGAGGGATGGCATGAGGGATGGCATGATGGATGGCATGAGGGATGGCATGAGGGATGGCATGAGGGATGGCATGAGGGATGGCACGAGGGATGGCATGAGGGATGACATGAGGGATGGCATGAGGGATGGCATGAGGGATGTCATGAGGGATGGCATGAGGGATGGCATGAGGGATGGCATGAGGGATGGCATGAGGGATGGCATGAGGGGTGGCATGAGGGATGGCATGAGGGGTGGCATGAGGGATGGCATGAGGGATGGCATGAGGGATGGCATGCGGGATGGCATGAGGGGTGGCATGAGGGATGGCATGAGGGATGGCATGAGGGGTGGCATGAGGGATGGCATGAGGGATGGCATGAGGGATGGCATGAGGGATGTCATGAGGGATGGCATGAGGGATGGCACGAGGGATGGCATGAGGGATGGCATGAGGGATGGCATGAGGGATGGCATGAGGGATGTCATGAGGGATGGCATGAGGGATGGCATGAGGGATGGCATGAGGGATGGCATGATGGATGGCATGAGGGATGGCATGAGGGATGGCATGAGGGATGGCATGAGGGATGGCATGAGGGATGGCATGAGGGATGTCATGAGGGATGGCATGCGGGATGGCATGAGGGGTGGCATGAGGGATGGCATGAGGGATGGCATGAGGGATGGCATGAGGGATGGCATGAGGGATGGCATGAGGGATGGCATGATGGATGGCATGAGGGATGGCATGAGGGATGGCATGAGGGATGGCATGAGGGATGGCACGAGGGATGGCATGAGGGATGACATGAGGGATGGCATGAGGGATGGCATGAGGGATGTCATGAGGGATGGCATGAGGGATGGCACGAGGGATGGCATGAGGGATGGCATGAGGGATGGCATGAGGGATGGCATGAGGGATGGCATGAGGGATGGCATGAGGGATGGCATGAGGGATGGCATGCGGGATGGCATGAGGGGTGGCATGAGGGATGGCATGAGGGATGGCATGAGGGATGGCACGAGGGATGGCATGAGGGATGGCATGAGGGATGGCATGAGGGATGGCATGAGGGATGGCATGAGCGGTGGCATGAGGGATGGCATGAGGGATGGCATGAGGGATGGCATGAGGGATGGCACGAGGGATGGCATGAGGGATGACATGAGGGATGGCATGAGGGATGGCATGAGGGATGGCATGAGGGATGGCATGAGGGATGGCATGAGGGATGGCATGCGGGATGGCATGAGGGGTGGCATGAGGGATGGCATGAGGGATGGCATGAGGGATGGCATGAGGGATGGCATGAGGGATGGCACGAGGGATGGCATGAGGGATGGCATGAGGGATGGCATGAGGGATGGCATGAGGGATGTCATGAGGGATGGCATGAGGGATGGCATGAGGGATGGCATGAGGGATGGCATGATGGATGGCATGAGGGATGGCATGAGGGATGGCATGAGGGATGGCATGAGGGATGGCATGAGGGATGGCATGAGGGATGTCATGAGGGATGGCATGCGGGATGGCATGAGGGGTGGCATGAGGGATGGCATGAGGGATGGCATGAGGGATGGCATGAGGGATGGCATGAGGGATGGCATGAGGGATGGCATGATGGATGGCATGAGGGATGGCATGAGGGATGGCATGAGGGATGGCATGAGGGATGGCACGAGGGATGGCATGAGGGATGACATGAGGGATGGCATGAGGGATGGCATGAGGGATGTCATGAGGGATGGCATGAGGGATGGCATGAGGGATGGCATGAGGGATGGCATGAGGGATGGCATGATGGATGGCATGAGGGATGGCATGAGGGATGGCATGAGGGATGGCATGAGGGATGGCACGAGGGATGGCATGAGGGATGGCATGATGGATGGCATGATGGAGGGCGAGGTGCATGGCGTGTGGCGCGACGGATGGCGAGAAGACGTGAATTGAATACATGCAAGGTGCCTCGGTGCGTGTCTGTGCCACATGCGCCCTGCACCCCCCTCCAATGCTGCCTTCTCTCCTCCCTGCCTACTCCCCCCCCCACCCCTCCCCCCCAGCGCACAGCGCATGGGGCTCGTGGCACTGCTACTTCCACCGCCTCACCTCGCCCGCCTGCCAGGCCGCTGCTCAGGCCGCTCTCACACGCGGGGGAGGGCCGCAAGCGGGAGGGCTGGGAAGCACGGAGGGGGATGCAGGGGGGGCGGAGGGGTCAGAGGGCGGGGAGGGCGTGGTGGGGGCGTGCAGGCCAGTGGCGGAGGTGGGCAGTGCAGTGGCGTCAGAGGCGCGTGTGGTGTGCGCCACCACCCATGTGCGGGCGAGTGCAGCGGTGCCGTGCCGTGATGGCGATGCGGGCGCGGAGCCAAGTGGGACGCATCCTGCTGAAGCTGCTGCTGCGTGAGTGATGTGATGTGATGTGATGTGATGGGATGGGCTGGGATGGGATGGGATGAGATGTGTGTGGTGCAATGTGATGTGAAGTGGTGTGATGCAATGCGATGTGATGTGATGTGATGTGATGCGATGTGATGCGATGTGATGTGATGCGATGTGATGTGATGTGATGCGATGTGATGCGATGTGATGTGATGCGATGTGATGCGATGTGATGCGATGTGATGCGATGCGATGTGATGCGATGTGATACGATGTGATGCGATGGGATGGGCTGGGATGGGATGGGATGGGATGGGATGGGATGGGATGGGATGGGATGGGATGGGATGGGATGGGATGGGATGGGATGGGACGGGATGGGATGAGATGTGTGTGGTGCAATGTGATGTGAAGTGGTGTGATGCAATGTGGTGCGATGTGATGTGATGTGATGTGATGCGATGCGATGCGATGCGATGCGATGCGATGTGATGTGATGTGATGCGATGTGATGCGATGTGATGTGATGCGATGTGATGCGATGTGATGCGATGTGATGCGATGCGATGTGATGCGATGTGATACGATGTGATGCGATGGGATGGGCTGGGATGGGATGGGATGGGATGGGATGGGATGGGATGGGATGGGATGGGATGGGATGGGATGGGATGGGATGGGATGGGATGGGATGAGATGTGTGTGGTGCAATGTGATGTGAAGTGGTGTGATGCAATGTGGTGCGATGTGATGTGATGTGATGCGATGCGATGCGATGCGATGTGATGCGATGCGATGCGATGTGATGTGATGTGATGTGATGTGATGTGATGTGATGTTGTGATTTTATCGCTCCCTCTCTCTCACTTCCTCGTCTACCCCCCCCTCCCACTCTCCGCTGGTGTGGCGCCTTCATGTGAGCAGGCTGCTGGGAGGAGCATGGCAGAAGGTGGTCGTGCGGGGGGCGCGGAGGGGTTCAGAGCGGTGTATGGAGAAACGGCAGAAGGTGCCACCATGCTACCACTTCACCATGCCACCATGCCACTATGTCACTATGCCACCATGTCACCATGCCACCATGTCACCATGCCACCATGTCACCATGCCACCATGTCACCATGCCACCATGTCACCATGCCACCATGCCACCATGTCATCCATGCCATGCATGGAGCCATCGCAGTGCTGTGTGGAACCATGATATGTCTTCCATGCTTGCCCTGTCCCTCCACCATCTCCTTTCCAGTCGTAGCACCCTCTTTAGCTTCTCTCATCCCTCTGTGCTGCGTGCATCGCCATCCACCAACCATTCCTCTTCCCACCGTTTCTCTTCCCACCATTCCTCTTCCCACCATTCCTCTTCCCACCGTTCTTCCCAGGGTAGGGACTGCTTCACATCTCACTCGCCCATCCACCTCCCTCCCTGACCCCCTCTTCCCCCCTATGTGCAGGTGCAGTGGTGGCGGGCACAAGCGCTGCGCTTCATGCTGCGCTGGCCTTCGCCCTACCTCTGCCACCTGCTCAACCGCCACCGCCACCGCGCCTACGGCATGCACGTGGCCGGCACATGGCCACACACCACGCCGAGGCCCAGGGCATCCTCTCCTCGCTGCTGCTGCCGCCCCTCGCCGCCCGCCACCCCATTGCAGCGCGCGCCCTGCAGCAGGAGGGGCGGGAGCTGGCGGCACTCAACTTGTCGACGCCGCACTCGGTGGAGGCGCAGGTGTGGCCGGGGCTGGGCTTCCAGGGGTGTGTGGCGCGCGGGCGCGGCAATGTGATGGCGACGCCGGGCAACCCCCTGGCGGACTACTTTGGGGCGGGGCGCGAGGCGTATGTGCTGCGCCCCATCGTTGCCATGGACACAGGACGGAGGCGAGGGGTGGAGAGGGCGCCAGTGCAGCATTCGAAAGAGGATGAGCAGGATAAGGAGGAAGGGGAGGATGAGGAGGTGGGGAGGAGTGGGCAGGAGGGGGAGTTGGAGGAGCGGGGGAGGAGGGAGCAGATGGCGGTGGTGGCGAGTGTGTTCCACGCGTACAGCCTCAGGCAGCACGACCCTGACCTCCACCACGTGTGGCTCACCGCCTCTCCCTCGCAGGTGCGCAGGGTCATCAGCGCACGTGGTGCAATGAGGCACGTGGTGCAATGAGGCACGTGGTGCAATGAGGCACGTGGTGCAATGAGGCACGTGGTGCAAGGAGGCACGTGGTGCAATGAGGCACGTGGTGCAATGAGGCACGTGGTGCAAGGAGGCACGTGGTGCAAGGAGGCACGTGGTGCAATGAGGCACGTGGTGCAATGAGGCACGTGGTGAAATGAGGCACGTGGTGCAATGAGGCACGTGGTGCAAGGAGGCACGTGGTGCAATGAGGCACGTGGTGCAATGAGGCACGTGGTGCAATGAGGCACGTGGTGCAATGAGGCACGTGGTGCAATGAGGCACGTGGTGCAATGAGGCACGTGGTGCAATGAGGCACGTGGTGCAATGAGGCACGTGGTGCAATGAGGCACGTGGTGCAATGAGGCACGTGGTGCAATGAGGCATGTGGTGCGAGAGGGTGCAGGGCCATGTGGTGCGAGAGGGTGCAGGGCCATGTGGTGCGAGAGAGTGCAGGGCCATGTGGTGCGAGAGGGTGCAGGGCCATGTGGTGCGAGAGGGTGCAGGGCCATGTGGTGCGAGAGAGTGCAGGGCCATGTGGTGCGAGAGGGTGCAGCGCCATGTGGTGCGAGAGGGTGCAGGGCCATGTGGTGCGAGAGAGTGCAGGGCCATGTGGTGCGAGAGAGTGCAGGGCCATGTGGTGCGAGAGATTGCAGGGCCATGTGGTGCGAGAGAGTGCAGGGCCATGTGGTGCGAGAGGGTGCAGAGCCATGTGGTGCGAGAGGGTGCAGGGCCATGTGGTGCGAGAGGGTGCAGGGCCATGTGGTGCGAGAGGGTGCAGGGCCATGTGGTGCGAGAGGGTGCAGGGCCATGTGGTGCGAGAGGGTGCAGGGCCATGTGGTGCGAGAGAGTGCAGGGCCATGTGGTGCGAGAGAGTGCAGGGCCATGTGGTGCGAGAGAGTGCAGGGCCATGTGGTGCGAGAGAGTGCAGGGCCATGTGGTGCGAGAGGGTGCAGGGCCATGTGGTGCGAGAGAGTGCAGGGCCATGTGGTGCAAGAGAGTGCAGGGCCATGTGGTGCGAGAGGGTGCAGGGCCATGTGGTGCGAGAGAGTGCAGGGCCATGTGGTGCGAGAGAGTGCAGGGCCATGTTGTGCGAGGAGCAGAGGTCCAAGTGGCGCAAATGCATGCTACTCCTTTCCAGCCATCACACACCCTCCCCGTTTGCCCTGTCTTCCCCTCTCCCACCCCCCTGTGGGCCCCTCAGGCCACGCAGACACACTTGGCAGCCTTCGACGACTGGACCTTCCTTAACTCCCGGCACGACAGCTACGGCCAATCAGCGGCTGCCAGCATGGCAGGTGTGGTGGGGTCGCACCTGGCGAGTGTGCTGATCGCAGCGGAGTCAGACTACTTTGTGGGGTCACTGGCCTCGCAGCACACTCGCCTCATCCTCGCCTTGAGGGCCACCAATGGCCGGCTTGCTGCACCTGCGGTTCTCCTGAAATAAATTAGGAATGGAAGCACCTGTTTACTTATTGCTATTATTAATATTAACGTTTCCTGTATCACAGTTACGAGTGCAACTGAGCGAGTGAGGATTGCACTATGGAGGCAAGAATCAAGAATACCGGTATGAGCAAAGTAGTGAGCAAAGTAAAATATTTGTGGAGGTAATGTGCGAATTATTGGGGTGCTCTACGGGCTTAGTGGTGAGGGCTGGACCACGGATTACCAGCTGAGGCGTGTGGCTCAGGCTCGATGGTGCGAACGGTGGTCAAGTGGAGAATGTTGTGAATGAAAACGGGACGAAGTGATTGTGGGTGCTGTGTATATTGTTGTTTGTTAGAAACTAGCGGAATGCAGTTCACGCAAGGTGGGCGTACAAGTACAAACTCCAAAAGAGTCATACCCCTTGGAGAGTGCCCCACTACAGCCTACAAGCATATTGTTAGTTTGACACAGCCCCGTAGGCTAAGTGGGGGAAAGCAAGAAGTAGCAACGCAAAGAGGTCACAAGTCCAGTCAAGAGAAGAAACAAAGCTACGCTCAGGGCGTGCCCCTAGATTCGTTTTGGGACATGCTGATCGATCAGCGTACACCCTTCTCTGAACTCTATCAGTAAAAGTTGCCTCCATTTTTTTAGGCTGGAAACTCAGACAACACTACGTTTTTTAGGCCGAACCTTCAGAGTTACACCCAAATTTTTAGGCAGATCAATTTTATGGATTACGGTATTAAACAAACGTTTCAACTATCTGAGTCAGAGTCTGACTGATGACTCTCTACAGCAGCCCGCTCAACTACTGGCTCCTCTACAGGCTCCTTCCCAGCCCTTGGGGGCTCCTGTGTCTTGCAGTACGTGTTGTGACTGGCCGGCGCTTCTTGTAGCTGCGCCAAATCTCGCCCGGATATAAGACATATATGTCTTATCTCGTACACTACTCTAAAAGCTTGAGTTATCTTGTAAACGGGATGGTTTAGGGTGTCTTATAAGTCTTATAAATGGAAAAAAAATTAAGTTGACTGTAACACTTGCAAACTGTGTAGAAACCACCCAGGGACCAGATTCATTGAAACAGGCCGACCTCGGTGGTGATGCATGCAGCGCCCACACTTGCCACGTGAGGGATACAGCAAAGCTGCCACCGCTGGCAAGATTCCTCTGTGCTGGCAGCATCTAATGATGCTGCCAGCGTCGTTTTGCTGCCAGCAGCGCAGGGATGCTTCCAGAACGCTGCTGGCAGCACGTTGGCAGCATCAGGGCTGTCCTCTCCGAGGAGATGCCTCGTAGAGGAGCGGCGCGGCACCTGTGGATGGGGCACTCTGGCTGGGGGGGGTAGTCGGGCTTTCAGTTCATTTGGTGCTCATGGAGGTTGAATACTCCACTCAACCTTGCTCTCGGCAGGCTTAGGAACCATGCGCAGCAAAGTACCAGGAGGCAAGTCCTCACCTCGTCCTCACGTGCAGGTGAATAACGACGGGCGAATTATCTCGCCCGGCGATGACATCCGTGTAGCCATGGCGAAGAACGCGAGCAAGGCGGGAAGTCCTACCGCCGCCTCCGGTGCGAGCTGTGACGGGGACGACGGAGACAAAGCACACGGCGACGAAGCCGTTGAGGACTGGTCGGAGAACGGCCACGACGACAGCGCTTCGGGCGACGAATTAGGTGCTGCCGACATCGAGGAGGACGAATGGTGGAATCAGCCGGTCGGGAGCGAAGACGAGGTGGAAGAGTGGCGGGCTGGTGATTCGGACAACGACGCTGGCGAAAATCCTGATGGTGACAACGCGGAGGCACAGGAAGCGGCGGTGGCGGCGAATGAGGCGGCTGCCGACGAGGCGGAGGCGGAACTCGAGACAGTTGCGCCTGCGGATGCGGACGCGATGGCGGAGTCGGACAAGGTTGCTGCGGATGCCGTCTTATTTGACGGCGAAGGCCCCAACGACGACCCGTGGAGCCTTGGGACAGACGACAACGTCCCGCTACTGAAGCGGAGGCTGCGCCATCGCCTGCAGTCCAAGTCGAAGCGGGCCCGCGTGGTGCTCTCTGACGACGACAGTCCGGGGGAGGAGCGTCGCCCGATACTCACCGCTGCGGAGAAGGGAAAAGCCAAGGTCGTGGAAGCCCCTGCTAAGGCCCCTGCTCGTTGCCGCACAAACAACACGAAGCGGAAATCCGACGGAGACCCGGGATCCAGCAAGGGTGCGGCTAAGAAGAAGGCGAAGAAGGCGCCGAATCCAGACGACATCGTCGTGAACGAGGCGCTGGGCAGTGACGACGAGTACGCGGCGGCGGCGGGCCCGATTCCCACGTTCCCTGAGAAGGAGGCGCCGAAGGACCCCACCCTCCATAATCCCAACACCCGCCCACCTTCCCCTCGCAGCAAAGAGTTTACGAGGAAGCGCCGCAGTTGGACCGTGCGTGAGAAGCTTATAAGTGGGCGCGCCGCTATCTGGAGCTCGGCTCCTTGAAGAAGACGAGCGTGGAGTCAACCGTGAGCATCGCCTGCATCAGACGCTGGAGTGCGGAGGCGGCTGCGGGCGTATACAAGGGCGTGGCTAACTGCCGCAAGCGGATGCACGGGGGCGGCCGCCACGCACACTACCCCGACATGTAGGTAGCGTTGTACCGCTACGTCTGCCTTCAGCGCGCTAATGGGGTGGCCATCTCGGTGAAGGACACCCAGAAAAGTGGAGCCGCGAGTGGATGAAGAAGCATTACCCCGGCAAGAACTGGAACGCAAGCTCTCACTGGAGCCAGCGTTTCCGTGACCGCTGGAACCTGGTGATGCGTGTCAAGACCAAGGTCGGCCAACGTCTCTCGGCAGGTGCGTGTAAAGGGTATTCGAGTCGCGTTTGTCCTATTGTATGCATGTCTCACATCGCCCAGTGTCTAACCATCCCGTGCTTCTGTTACGCCTATCCCATTTGCAGAGTGCGCGAAGGACTGTGAGTCCTTCTGGAAGTTTGTGCGCATCAACAGGGCGCGGCACAACATCGACCTGGCCCGCATCATCAACGCGGACCAGACTCCACTATTCGTGGAGATGCCGGCCGAACGGACGATCGAGCACCGTGGCGCGCGCTCGGTCCCAATCCGGACTGCAGGCTACCAGAAGACGCGCTTGACGGTGATGCTCGCGTGCACTGCATCCGGGGAGAAGCTGCGGCCGTGGGTGTGGTTCAAGATGAAGAACGTCCCCAACTGTGAGATTCCGGACGGTAAGCGTCCGGAATTCAACCGTGCAACTGCCTCGTGAGCGTGCCCCACTGTGCTGATGCCCGTCTGTCCGTTGTGTGCCTGGCAGGCGTCGTGGTCCAAGCACAGGACAACGGGTGGATGGACGAGAGCGCTGTGCAGACCTGGCTGTCCAAGGAGGTGCTGCCCCATCTGAACCCCCAGCGCGGCCAGAGCGCGAGGCGTGCGATGCTGGTGTTGGACTCCTACCGTGGCCACATCACCCAGACCATGCTTCAGTCGTACCGCACGCACAGCATCACCCCTGCAGTCATCCCAGCGGGTTGTACGAGCCAGATTCAACCCCTGGACGTCTCCATCAACCGGTGCTTCAAGGCTGCCGTGCGAGCGCGCTACGCCAGGTGGTTCATGCGTGAAGGGATTCACCTGAAGACGAAGAAGGGTGAGTTGGTGATTCGTTGTGAATCCCTGTTCTGGTTCGTCTCCTTATCTTTAACATGTTTCTTCATGTCCGTGCCCCATCGTCTGTCCCACCCGCAGGGAACCTGCGGAGGCCTCCGCACCCCGTGGTGATGTAGTGGATCGCGGAGGCTTGGGATCAAGTCCCCAAGCAGATCATCATCGACGCGTTCCGCCACTGTGGGATCTCCAGCAAGCTGGACGGAACGGAGAACCACCTGGTGATGTCTCATCTGCGCGCCAGGAGCACCACCGATGTCTCCGAGGACATGTCCCTCGGGGGGACCACAGGCGACAACACGCGCCTACTCGGGAAGGCTCCAGAGGAGGAGGAGGAGGAGGAGGAGGAGGAGGAGGCGATGCAGGCGGAGGGCGTGCGGGAGGTGGCCGTGGCAACCGGCCTGGAGGTGCTGTACCAGGAGACCCCCAACTACCGCGGAGCGGCGGCGGAGGCTGACCGCATGATCGAGCCTAGGGAGACGGCTAGGCATGCCTGGCGAGTGCCAGACCTGGGTGTAGAGCCAGTTGTTAGTGCAGGCGAGGAGGCGGTGACTGATGGGGGTTAGGTAGAAGTAGAGATTCATGAATGTATGCATGTACCCCCCTAAAGTAAGGAAAGCTCTTTTAGAAGACACCCCCTGTTTATAAGAAAACCCCTAAACCCCGGTTGCGATTATAAGATATATATGTCTTAACTCGTACACACAAATAGGTGTCGTATAAAAAAGGCTAGCCTGTTTATAAGAGACACCCGTATAGTAGACAACCCCTGTCTACTATTCAACACTGTCTTATATCCGGGCGATGACGGTACTCCAGGCACGTCTAGCTCATAGTCTAGCCATGACATACACAGCAGATCACTGAGCCTACAGTCCTTGATACTGCCCCTCTGCCACGTTTTGATGAGATTCTGTCGAGAGAAGCCTCTCTCACACTCAACAGTGCTGAGGCAGCACAACAATGGCCACCCAGAGTCCGACAAGGTTGGGGTACGCTTGCTGCCAGTCAGGTGTCTTGAGAATTGCAGTCAGTCCCGTGTGGAACTTTCACTCGCTCTAAGGAGCTCTGGCCAGGACTGGGCATAGTCCGCAGCTCCTTCACGGCACGCTTCTTGTCAATGCCTGCAAGGTAAGACACGGCAGGGGATTTGTATATGACGCGTTTTCAACGGTCGAACGAGTTACCAATCATGAACTGACCTGGTAGGATCTCGTCGGAGTCATCTGCGCGAAACAGGGTGACTAGCGACAACAGCCACTCAAGGCACTGTGCCTGTTGTGCGTGCCTCTCCCAATTCGGCTGCCTCAAGTCAGGAATGAAAAGTCTCACGCCGGAAAGAGAGTCGAGGTCGCCGAGCTTTGACTGGAGGTTTCGGACGAGGAGCTTGGCCATGTTGGCGCAGAGCGCCACACATGCGTCGTGATGACCTGGCCAACGATAGCTCGGGTTGCTGCGCTCGTGTAGGGTGACCTTGAAGCGGTTGAGGCTGCCATCCGACGCTCCTTCCACCACCATCTCTGGTGACCCCTTCGGTCCATGCTTTTCAATGAAGCGGTAAAGCCGCTCGTTGGGCTCGCCCCCGAAGTCGTCTCCACAGTGGATGTACCGGCTCTCCAAGAGAGAGGTTGTGTGCACAATCTGCGTATGCACCAAGGGGTAGTCGAGATGCCACACACAAGTCAAGAGAAAGTTAGTACATAGGTACATGTGTTGAAAACAAAACAAATCATGTGCTCAAGTTACTTACCTCCCGCTGCTGGAAAACCTTGGAGGGGACGTTGAGCAGCTCCCCGCGAGGAACCGAAGCAAAAACTGAAACCGGTACGACGTGACGAGCTCATATGTGGTTTGGTCTTTCCACTCTGACATCATCACCACAATGGCAGGGAGGACTTCGACAAAGCGGGCGACTGCAGCACCCCTTGAAAGCCACCGAACCTCGTGTATCCCTTGCACCTCGAGATTAGTGGACATGAAGACCTCCTGCAGCTCCATGAAACGTTAATGCCATGGTCCTGATCGCCCCATGTGCTCAGCGATGGCGCGGATCACGTCGTCAACCATGTTAAACGTTGGTATAGTCTCTGCAGCAGCTTTGGCAGCCAATGCCTCTCTGCACATCATACAAACATACAGGATTAGCAAAACATCACCAACGTCTAGACATGAGCTTTAAACACAAACGAACCGGTGAGCAATCAAGTGGAACGAAACCAGGTTGGGGATGAGCATCCGAAGACGAGCAACCAAACCATTTTGGGCCCCCACCATCACCATGGCGCCGTCCGTGCTCACTCTCAAAATTCGGCAGAGATCAACGCCGACAGCCCTGAGGTGGGAAAGCAACGAACTACACAGGGATGCAGCGTCAGCTTTCTCAACTGTAAGGTGAGCGCGGAACTCAGCAACGATTTGGCCGTCGCGCAGAAAGGTGGCAAACACAATCATGTGTTTGCAGCGCGGCCGGTCGGGATGAAGGGGCTCGTTAGAAGGTGTTCCACTTGCGTTGATTGGAGCCACATCGCGATTGCCTGAGTTAGTTCTCCGAAGCCGTACCTGTAAAAAAAAAAAAAACGAGGCAGTTAGCGACAGGGAAAGAGAGAGAAACCTAACAATACGGTGGTTACAACCGACAATACTTACGTATTGTAGTACGTGCTGTACCCCTGCTCTGGAAACCCGGGCACGTTCTTCTTTGCCAGGTACCACACTAGCCGAATCCACGAGTCCATGGGCTCGTTGCACTTGCTCATGAAGTACAGCGAGTCCACGAGCGACGAAACCTGCAACGCCTCCTTGTCCTGCGCTTTCGGGTGTAGGTCGATATGCTGCTGTCGCCCATATTTCTGCAAGAGGTCCTCCTGTCGCTGCAGAGAAAATCGATGCTTCACCGTCCCTCCATGCTTCTTGAAGGAATGCGTCTGCATGTCGGTAGCGCCCTCACCACGCCGTCCACACTTGCCCGTCAAACCCGCAAACTCCAAGCATGAGCTGCACTTAAAACCAGGGGCACCAGAAGAAGTTTGAGTTAGAATCAGCCACGAGAAATTGGTAGACCACTTAGTCTTATAACGATCGTGAGCTTCTTCGTATTTCAACTCCAGCTTGTCGGAGGTAGGCTTTGAGCTGTCTTGCATGGGAAATTCGTCGCTCGCTGGAGCTTCAATGGTCGATGGAGGAGGTGGAGTTGGCCACAGAAACGTGGTCTGTCGGTACCGCAGCTTCGTCGGCGGCGCGGGACGGGACGGTGCTTCAACGGACGCCTCATGGGGCGCCGTCTGTGGCACAGCGATCACTGGTTTAGTGACGGCATCGGACAGAGGTTCATAGTGCATGAAAACTGGAGGGCGACTCGAGCTGGGTTGCGACGATGGAGCAGGCCACCGGAACATGCTTCGGTAAGACTGATCTAAGAATGTCTAGGCCGGTCACAGCGACGAAAACAGGGCGACGATCGGCATCTTCGTCATTGTCGGGCCCTTCGGCGGCAGCATTTGTGGCTGCCATTGAGTCTGCCGAGCAGTGGTTTTGCGAGGTCGGGATAGGGAGCCTGAAACAAGGGTTGCGGCACTAGTTTCAGGCGAGGCAATTGAAGTGAAGCGAGAGAGACAAGCCATTGAGTGGCTGGCAAGAACGGTGACGATGAGGAAGCTGAGAGGTCCTCGTATTTGGACCTCACATCTCCCTGGTGGTCATTGCATGCACGGCACCTGATCGTGTATGCTGGGAAGGTGGGGTGGGTGGGGTGGATGGATGTGGTGACGTGAGAGGAGCAGCACGCTGCGAGCTATGCGTTGGCAAGGAGGAAGGTGGGGTGTGGTGGATGGTCGTGGTGTCGTCCGGGGTGCAGCGCGCTGCGAGCTATGCGTTGGCAAGGAATCTTGCCAACACTACCTGCTGTGCAGCCGCGATTGGTTGGAATTAAACCTGATTACAACATTCCTGTACCAACGCGACTGTGCGGTGCCGCGCTCGGCAAATTTTGGTTTCCCGCCCGTAATTGACGTTGTTAGTGCTACACGCCGCCAGGCTGGCGGAAACCCCTGTATTACCGGTTTCAGAGTGCACCCCTAATACAAGGCTGAGGGCTCAGCCTACACTCATAAAATTAGGCTGAAATTTCAGCCTATACATAAAAAAAATCTTTGAAAAATCAGAGAAAGTACATAAAGAGAAACTTTGAGTTCAGACTAGGTAAGAAAATAAAAATCCTGAACGCACTCTAAACCAGACTAAAAAGTCTGATATCTAGGGCCCTGGTTCAGGGTGGATCTCAAGATCACCACACAGTTCGAGCACAAGTAAGCGGCCACAAGGCCAGTTCACATGCAGTGTTATAGAAGCAAGAGTAGTACAATGATCACAACCAAGCAAATGTACATGCAGGTGTAGATGTATATCAGAGTACAACAAGTACAAGACGACATCAAGAGACAAGAAAGTGAGGCAAAGTAGGCACAAGGCTAAGAGCGGTGCAGAAACGCTTATTTTCACTAGACCCAACGGCCTTGGTGAAAATATCAGCAGTGTTGGCCTTAGAGGCCACGTAAGAAAGGCGAAGCTGACCACGCTGTTGCAACTCTCGCACGAGAAAGTAACGAAGAACCATGGCCTGTGCTCCTGACATAAGGCTATCATGGCCTTGTTGTCAACGAGCAGAACCGGAGAAGAACGAGGCCCTTCACCCAAGTCGGTGAGCAAGTAGGTCTGCCAGCGTAACTCCAGCGCAACCATAGCCCCAGCGTCGATCTCGGCCTCACAGCTGGAGCTGAGCACAGAAGACGAGCGAGTGGACCTCCATGAGACAGAACCAGTGCCCAGACAGAAAGTGTAGCCATGTGAGGACCACTGAGTCGCCTGGTCATCGGCCCACGAAGCGTCTGAGTGCCTCGTGAGCACAAATGAACCCCGTCCCCCAAGCACAGGCCTCAAGCTGATGTACTGACCAAGTAGCATAGCACCCTCGTAGCAGCCCGTCAATGCTCAGGCCGATGTCTCCCTGGCGCAACATAGCGCGCCAGGATGCTGAGAGGGTACGCGAGGTTGGGCCGAATGCACGTCATCAGGTACATAAGGCAATCCACAAGCTCTGGATACAAACCGCTAGGCTCTACAGACTCGTCCGAAGGTGGAGCTGAGAGCGTATGGCACGTACGCAGAGGAGTGGGCTGTGCCGAGGAGAACTGAAAGCGGAAGCGCTGAAGGACCTGCTGCACAATATGTGATTGAGTCAGAGCGATGGTGCACGCTGCTCTGTCCCGGGTGATTTGCAAATTAAGATGGGATCGCAGTTCACCCAGGTCAGTGCAGGTGTGTAACTTCTGCAGCTCCGCCTTCTCAAGGGCCAGTGCCTCACTGTCAGCAACCGTAAAGACCAGGTCGTCGACATACACGACGATGCAGAACGGCGACAAAGTAGAGTCAGTGCGCAGAATCAAGGACGGGTAAGCAGTCGAAGGAGCGAAGCCAAGAGCCGCAAGTGTCATCCTCAGTGTGTCGCGCGACTCACGGGGCGCCTAACAGAGACCGTAGACTGGCCGCCAGAGACTCCATTGGGTACCCTCAGGAAACAACCCAGTGAAGCCAAGTGGGCGGCGAGAAAGCTATCAAGAATTCGAGCGAGTGCAGCTCCGTAGTCACGCTGAGCTGCAACGTGCAGTAATACCCAAAGAGTCATCATTTTCGGGGTGGGGGAGAAGGCCTGGAAGAAGTCGACCCCCTCACGCTGACTAAAACCTCGTACAACGTAATGCGCCTTGAAGACAGGCGGGGAACTCGGTGGCCGCTTCACCCTGAAAATCCACATGCCATCGACTATGTTCGCCACACGAGGGGGAACTGTGTCACCGTAGGTGCCTGTGGACTTCCAGGATGCCATCTCTGCGCCCATAGCTGTCTGCCACTTAGAGGAGTATGGACTCGTGATCGCTTCTGCATAAAAGCGCGAGGTCGAAATGTCACAGCCAAGGGCAAGGTCACCCTTGATGGACGTAGGACAGGGCAGAGTCAATAATACGACTTGCGAGGTAGTCAAGGTGGCTAGTAGAACCACAGTAGTGAGCTCAGCGACCAAGGCAGATGAAGCAACAGACAAAAAAGCAGGGCACAAGTGTGGCAAGACAATGAGTGATA